TTTTTTCTTCAGATTCCATAAAAGGATTATATAGAGTGTTTTATTTTTCAAAAAATTGCCTCATTCATAGACTCTCAGTTCTTAGATGTGATCCTTTTCCTTTGCAGGGAGTATCTGAGGGAAAAATCCTACTTGAATTTGGGGATAGGAAGGAGGGTGACATATATAGGGAGAAAACAACCTATTTGAATAGTGTATTGGTGCCCAAATCAAGTCTAAAATTTTGTTCTGTTGAATCTTCCAGTATAAGAACTTGTTGGAAATAGTTTGTTTCCCAACAGGTTGTCAGTTCACTGAGGCCTTTATTTAACTTTAATGTAAATTTCCTTTTGGTAATAAGGTTCAGGTTTTTCTTTGCATGAGGGTAAGTTTTGAGACAATATGGCAATTTGAGACAATGTGGTATTCCATAGAGTGGAGGTGGCTTTCTAATCTTACAGTTTAAATATCTACACACCATATCTGTATATATACATATGTCCACATACCTAGGAAGTCTATCGTTGTGGATGTCTTTAAGTCTGTCTGTAATTGGAGTCTGAATTCTACGTGTTGCTTTAATAGGATGTCTAGGGCTTATCTAAGAGTAAGAACTTGTAATATATGTAACTTTCCTGATTTGGAGTCATACTTAAACCAGGAATTGTCACCATTGTGACCTGTACACAGTGTAGCTATTTCTACCTTTCATTTAGTTTGGACAAGTAGTTAGTTACTTATACATTGTATGTTGTCTGTGATAAGTATACTTATAAAAATAAAGTCTCCTTTAGAAGTACTTCACTTATTCAATTTCTGCATTATTTTCAGCAGTCTAAATATCAAAACTTTAGGCCTGTGAAAATATGTGCTAGGTACTGTTCTAGGTATTGAAGATAAGACACTGAACAAAACACAAATCCCTATTCTCAGGTGCTATACAATTAAGTGGGGGCGGGAGGAGATGGAACAATAAACAAATATTTAATGTAGCAAAGGGTGGTAAATGTTATAAAGAAAACAAGGCACAGTAAAAAGATAGAGAATAAATAGGGTGGGTGGTGGGATGAGGGAGTGCTGTGTCAAATAACATTGTAAAGGAAAGCTTCTGATTTGGTGACAATCCTTGAAATAGTTTTGCCTTGTTAAAGGTTTTTAACAGACATCTTTGGGTATTTTATTAATTATTAATGAGCTAGTATTCCATTTATTGAAAATTTTTACCACAGATAGTAAGCTTTATAGGCTTAATCTGAAAGCTTGAAAATGGATTTTTATTAAATTTGGAATGATGCCAATGACATATATTCCTAGCTTTAAGAAAACCTGGGAAATGATAATCATAACTTTTATAGAACAGTATTTTTACTTTCATAAATGGATATTAATTTGTATATTTTCATTTGTATCCTTATTTCCCTTTCAGGTCCTAAGCAAGTGATACTCAATTTTTGCATGGTTTCCTTGCTTCAAATCTCTTTTTCCTCCATGCCATCCCATAATTTATCAGGAGATTGATCTTTCTAAAACACTCTCTTTGCCATGTTGTTCCCCTCCTTAATTCCCTTTTGCTGGTCAAATTGAGTCTTAGCACCTCTTGCTTGGTGTTTAAAGTCTTCTGCCTTCAGATTTTTAATACTTAATTTACTTTTACACTGAAAAGTACCCTTTGGTGTGTACAGTAGAAAGGAGTTTGTATGCAGTATATCATGTATAATGTTTAAAGTTTTGTTTAAAGAACAATAAAGAATCATCAATGGATGCAAAAATTAGTGGGCAAAAGTATGAAACATTTATGTAATCAAAGTATTTCCTCATGAGATATTTATTAATTATAGTTTTTTAAAATAAATTTATTTATTTACTTGTTTTTATTTTTGGCTGTATTGGGTCTTTGTTGCTGTGCGCGGGCTTCCTCTAGTTGCGGCACGCGGGGGCTACTCTTCGTTGTGGTGCACGGGCTTCTCATTGTCGTGGCTTCTCTTGTTGCAGAGCATGGGCTCTAGGCGCGCGGGCTTCAGTAGTTTTGGCACGTGGGCTCAGTAGTTGTGGCTTGTGGTTTCTAGAGCGCAGGCTCAGTAATTGTGGCAGGCGGGCTCAGTTGCTCTGCGGCATGTGGGATATTCCCAGAACAGGGCTCGAACCCCTGTCCCCTGCATTGGCAGGTGGATTCTTAACCACTGCGCCACCAGGGAAGCCCTATAGTGTTTTTATATGGAGAAACCTAACAGTTGGCCCTTCTGATCCAAGGGTTCCGCATCTGTAGGTTCAACCAATGCTGTTCAAAAGTATTTGGAAAAAAAATTACATAAAGGCAACATGCCAGTAACTATTTATATAGCATTTACATTGTATTTACAACTATTGCATAGCATTTACATTGTATTAGGTATTATAAGTAATCTAGAGATGATTTAAAGTATACAGAAGGATGTGCTGTAGGTTATGTGCAAATACTATGTCATTTTCTTTTTTTTTTAACATCTTTATTGGAGTATAATTGCTTACAATGGTATGTTAATTTCTGCTTTATAACAAAATGAATCAGTTATACATATACATATGTTCCCATATCTCTTCCCTCTTGCGTCTCTCTCCCTCCCACCCTCCCTATCCCACCCCTCTAGGTGGACACAAAGCACCGAGCTGATCTCCCTGTGCTATGCAGCTGCTTCCCACTAGCTATCTATTTTACATTTGGTAGTGTATATGTGTCCATGCCACTTTCTCACAGCTTACCCTTCCCCCTCCCCATATACTCAAGTCCATTCTCTAGTAGGTCTGTGTCTTTATTCCCATCTTGCCCCTAGGTTCTTGATGACCTTTTTAAAAATTTTTTCTTAGATTCCATATATATGTGTTAGCATACAGTATTTGTTTTTCTCTTTCTGACTTACTTCACTCTGTATGTATGTCATTTTCTTTAAGGGACCTGAGCTTCCCAGATTTTGGTGTCTGTAGGGGTCCTGGAACCTATCCCCTGTGGATACTGAGGGACTACTGTACTGTATTACTAAATGATGAAAGTTAACATTACCAGCAATGAGACTTATCTACATCATGCGCCTCCAGATACAATGCACTGAGAAAGGCACAGCATTACTTTTGTGGAATTCCTGCCAAAATGTATAAACTGAATTTAATCCTAAGGAAATAAGCAAACCCAAATTGAGGGACATTATATGAAATAACTGACCAGTGCTCTTCAAAAGTGTCCAGGTCAAAGTAGACTGAGGAACTATTTCAGAGTAAAGAAGACTAAGGAGATGTGACAACTAAAATGCAGTGTGTGATCCTGGTCCAGAAAAGAGGACGTTAGTGGAACAGCTGGCAAATTTTGAATAAGGTCTCTTGATTAGTTAATAGTATTGTATCAGTGTCAATTGCTTGGTTTTTATAGTTTTTATAGTTATATAAGATGTTAGTATTTGCAGCTACTGGGTGAAGGAAATCTTTGTACCATTTTTGCAACTTTTTTGTAAGTATAAAATTATTTAAAAATGAAAAGTTAAAAAAGATAAAAAATAGTTTTTTAAAAAATGTAGTGATTTAATGTGTTAATGAGTGAAAAAATGAAGGAAAAGTTTAGACACTAAAGAACTCTATAGGCCCTTGTTTTGCAGGGTTACCCAGATTTTGTTCATGTCCTTGTGATTAATTTATTTTCCCTTTTTTCAACAGCGTGTCATGATGATGTAGTTAAGATTGTGAATCTAGCGTGCAAATATAACCTTTGTATCATACCAATTGGTGGTAGGTATTGTGTGTTTTGAATTTTAATGTGATGTAAATTTGTTCTATTTTAAATGTTTGTGCCATCCCACTGAAAACATTCTTAAAATTATGAAATGGTTATCTTGAAAAATTGGTTTATGGTGTTTATTGGTTATGCTGGTCTATTTCTGTTCTGAGCAGATCTACCTAAACTGTTTGAGACATGATTTACCCTTAGTTCATGGCTTCTTTCCCATGTGGGTCCTAATTGAAGCTGTGATTTACTGCCTAAATAAGAAAATGTTCCTGCTTTAGTAATTACTTTCTAACCTTTATCTTAATAGAGAGAATATTATTTTTCAAAGGCTAACTATACCCAACATAAATCTTTGAGAAGAAGGGATATGCAACTAGGACAGTGATAACCAAATCAGTAATATCTTTTAATACTGAAAACTAACATTATTTTACATTTTAAGATAAATTTAATCTCTCTTGATCATTCACCAACCACATCATTTTAACAGCTTACACAAGCCAAAGGAAATTGCCTTCAGTGACTGAATTGGCATTGATGGAATGGAAATGGGACCTCTGCAAATCAGAAGTTCCAGATACCTTCTTCAGTTGATACTTATCGTTGAATTCATGCAAAAAGGGCATTACACTGCCACTTTTAATGAAATATTTTTCTGATTTCAAATGACTTTGACAAGAAATAGTGGTTACTAATCACAGACATGTTCTTAACATTGTTTCACTGTGTAGATCAATACCCCCTGTACTTGCATCAAGGTGACTTCCACTTATATTCTGTCCAAAAGATATGAAAGTACCAATTCAAACTTTATTCTGCTATATGATGGTACAGATCTGGTTAAGAACTGAGAACACCGTATTGTTCCGTATTGTTATCAAGAAAGCATTTTTCCTTTGACAACAAATGTTAAGTAGGAGTACAGTGTTTAAATTCTTCTATATATTAATTATTCTATATTAAAAATCACTTTTTCACCAAAGAACATATAAATTTGTTTTTGAATATCATATAATCTGGGCAGTTTTAACTTTATATTCTAATTTATTAGAGCCTTTTTGCATGTGAGTATAAGATAATATTTTAAATGATAAGTGAATCTCATAAATATGGCAGAAAGGAGATAATGGTGTCTCTAGTTGTATAGGATGGGTATTTTTTCTTTTACGCTATCTCTCCACAGTAATCATTAGCTTAGAACTTTTCTAATCATGTTTTTGGAGTTCCACAAAATGCTAGGGGCTTCACTTGAGTGTGCCCGGGGGATGGAGCCATATCCCATTACTTTCAGCTCCATAATATTTCTTCATTTTGGCATGCACCATAAAATTAAGGTGAGTTTGCTTATAGTGTGTTAGCATTTGCAAATTACATTTTGCAAAGTAGAAATAGGTATTATTTCCTAGAGGACCTATCTGTATACTTTGTCTTAGGGATTTACCCTAGAAATGTAGCTAAAAGTAAAATATTTAAGCATAGTTGTTGTTTCCTATTTTGGCAGGAGGAACAAGTGTTTCATATGGCCTCATGTGTCCTGCAGATGAGACAAGAACAATAATTTCTTTGGACACTTCACAAATGGTATATGATAATTTAAGATGTATTTGAAGATAGTGTTTAAAAGTTGTCTTTATGGCTCAGTCTTAGTTATTTTTAAAAAGGTATATTGTCCATTTTGTTTAAATTTTTTTCATCATTATATTTTGCCTTTGTCTTCAGACCTCTAAAAGCTAAGTTCACTCTTACTCTAAGTCACATATCTTGATGGATTCTACCAAATTGACATGTGAAATTGACAATTTGAGAAGCATGGATTGGAATAGTGATACAATAGTTGACCTGATTTATATTGTTAAAAAACAAATAATATTTGTTAATGTTAATTTGAATCATCAAAACTTAGTTGTTCCCCAAATATTTACTAATGCTATTGCACTTTTGCTTTTGGAAGAATAGAAGAGCTAATTAATTTTAAAATTAACTTAAAATTAATGAAGGTGCTAATAAACTTTAGGATTATTTTGTGAAATTTTGGTTCATTATGGTCCAAGAGTTGACCATTGTGCTATGTTAAAGTTTTAGTTTGGGTATGAACTTAATCTTTGTATAGTCAACAATATTCCTGTTTATATAATCTTTTATTATAATTAAAATTTTAATATTACTATTTTATTGAAGTTTTTCAAGCATCAAAGTAGAGAGAATAGTATTTCTAGTCTCTAGATTAAATAATTATTTACATATATTGGCTTTATCTTTTTTCCTCTACTATTTTTAAAGCAAATCCTGATAGTATGCTACTTTACACCAAATATTTCTGTGTATTTCTTTTAAAAAGGACATTTTCTCACTATATTATTATCACTTCTGGCAAAATTAAAAGTAATTCCTTATATCATTTAATATCCAGTCCACATTCATTTTCCAGTTGTCTCAAAATTGTCTTTATTTTATAATTCATTTCATTGTTCAAATGGGGATTCAGACAAGGCCCACATTAGCTTTTGGTGGTTTCTTTTAGTCTCATTTTATCTGAAACCCTCTTCCTCACTTTCTGAATGTCTATGTTTTAAACCAACTCCTGTGCAATATACTGCCTGTGTTACTATGTCTGTTATGTTGTATAGTCAGGAACAAGTGGTGCTTTCTAGTGTGGGTAACCCTACTTGCTTAATTTCTATCTTGTCACTTGCTGCTTTCAGTTAGGAGGTTATATTTCCTGAGAAAGTGTCTGTTCCTGAAGATGAGACTTCTTTCTTCTTTTGCAACAGAATCGAATCCTCTGGGTTGATGAGAACAATCTGACAGCTCATGTAGAGGCTGGCATAACAGGACAAGAGTTGGAAAGACAGGTATGTTATTTAAAATTTTCAAAACTGCTGTGTATCCCCTCTATGAATAAAGTACCTTTCACAATATATTCACTGAACAAGCTTGTTTGGTTTCTCTTGTGGGTCAGATATTGAGCTAGATGCTATGAACATAGTAGTGAATAAGACACCCATCCCCTACCCTACGAAAGCTTACGTTATATTATGACAGAAAGTTAGATAAATAGACATATGACTCAGTGAGAATTTCTAGGTGAAGGCTGGCTAAATATGGGGTTCGAAGAGAAGGAGTTGAACAAAGGTGGTATCACAGAGGACTCGGCATTTAAAATGAGGATTAAATTAGGATGAGTGAGAGTGAAAAGGAAATGGGGTTGGGGAGAACAATCCAGTCAGGGGAAGCAGCATGTGCGGAAGATGTACAGGCAGCTCTTGCTTTGGAGGATCTGCAGATAGCTGAATATGGCTGAGATCTAATCTGTGTATATGGGAGAACACATATTCTTGGTGTTTGTATTTTGGGTGAGTGTACGTATAGTAGTGGTAAAGGGTGAAGCCAGGAAAACATGAAGAGGTCAGATCATAAAGCCCCAAATGTTTGAACTTTACCTTTGTACTTAGTTTTCGTGAGCTACTTTGTGGAGGATGGATGGGCACGTAAAGGTGGATTAAGTGGCTGCTGCAATAATTTGGACAAGAGCTGATAGTGACTTGAAACAAAGTCGTAAGAATGGAGCGAAACAGAACAAGTTGGACACAGAATTCTCAGAAATTAATGATAAATTTGATCAGTTTGGGTAGATGTTGGTATTTGCTATTCATTGAAATTTTCAAAGCATAATTTTATTGAAAACTGCTCATCTCATGAATAAGTGGAACTCCTGGAGTCCTTATAGCACTTTTTTGGGATCCTAATGAATTTTAGGAAACTTGAGGTTCTCTTCATGGATTTTAAGTGGTAATTATTAAAATGTATTGGTTTCTTCAGCCCTTTCAAATATGGTCAAGATGACTGTAACTCAGCTTTTGTAAACAAAAGTTAGAAAGTCCAGTTCGCTGGTGATGAACTGACCATTTTGTTCAATTTGGGTTACAGAGACCCCTCTTTCCTACCTTTTTTCCCCCTTCTTCTTCCTACCTTTTAACAACACAGAGAGAAATGTGACATGCTTGTTGATCTTTTTTTTATTATCTTTTTCCATATTTCATGGTAAAGAGTTGAATGAAGTTGGTATGCTGATGACCAATTCTGGATGAAAGGTTTTGAAAAACATTATTAAAGTTTTATCTTTATTTTTTATTTAATGCACTAAGATACAGAGAACTAGAATAAAATTGAACATATTCATTGAGGCATTAAAGATCTTCAGTAAGTCAAGGTTTTATATAATTCAAGGTAATTAGATTTGTTAATTATTATAGTTTTTAATGAACTTTGTGGGTTGAATAATAGCATTTAATGAAAAAAAACCTGTAAAAAGGCCTGTATTAGTCTTCTGTTATGCTGAGAGGCATTATCAACACAGTGATTTTTTTTATAACAAAGGATGGCCTTTCATGTCTACAATTTTATATCCTTTATTATAGCATTTGATGTAGTATTTTAACCTTTCCAAGTTTTTTTTTTTTAAAGGTTAGAATTAAAATTCAAGGAACATATTTCCTTGAAATTTAAATGACATTTTCCTAGACTAGGAACTTTTGATATTTTACCTACTAGTTTATTTCCCTAAATGCCAACATAGAACATTTCTTTTTGCCTCTAGTAGACTCTAATATAGTTTCTGTAGCTGTGTTGATCCCAGTTCAAGTTCTTCCTCATTATGCTTCTGTATTCTTCAGTTTCTTCTTCAGCTGAGGTAACCAACTTAAAACTTCCTGCTTTTTCATTCTACAAGTTTTAAAATGACACAAATATATTAGTTGGGTAGCACAAATTTTCATCTTTTTAACTTGTGGATTACATCTTTTAATATGTATGAAATTTAAGGGAGGTCATTAAATGTTAACTTTGGATTTTGGGAATTTGTTTCTAGGTTTATTAAATCTTTGGCTACTTAATTTCATTAGTTAATAGACTGGGGATATGTGACTTATGTTTTCCCCCCACTAGGGATGCATTTCTCAATGCCTCAGTTTCTTTATCTATAAAATGGAGATAATACCTACTTCATAAAGTTTTTGTTAGGATGAAATAAGTTAATAATGTAAAGTACTTAGAACTTTTATTCATTCCACTAATTTTTATTGAGTACACTTCTGTCTGCTTCATTCAGACACAGCTGACTTTAAATATTTCTTCTATATGCCAAAGACTCCTAAATTTGTATCACCTCAGACTTCTTTCTTGAACTCTAAACTTGCATATCCACTTGCCTAGTTGACATCTCCACTTGTATATCTAATACACATTTCAAACTTAACATTTAAAAAAATTGAATTTCAATTTTCCCTCCACAATTTGCTTATTCTGCAGCCTTCTCATTCCCAGTTGGTGGAAATTCAGTTCTTTGGGCAGCTTGAGCCAAAATCCTGAGTCTTTTTTTTTTCTTTTTAGTATTTCTAAAGGGTCTTTTTATTTTTAAAAATATTTATTTATGTGGCTGCACTGAGTCTTAGTTGCGGCACACGGGCTGTTTGTTGCAGTGCATGGGCTTCTCTGCAGTTGTGACGCTCAGGCTCTAGAGCGCACGGACTCAGTAGTTGCGGCATGCAAGCTCTCTAGTTGTGGCATGTGGGCTTCAGAGTGCATGGGCTCAGTAATTGTGGTGTGCAGGCTCTCTAGTTGTGGTGCATGGGCTCAGTAGTTGCAGCGCATGGTCTCAGTAGTTGCAGTGCAGGGGCTTAGTTGACCCGCAGCATGTGGGATCTTAGTTCCCCCAGCAGGGATCAAATCCGCGTCTCCTGCATTGGAAGGCGGATTCTTAACCACTGGACCACCAGGGAAGCCCCTGCTTTTGTTTTGTTTATAATAGTTTCATTGAGATATAATTGTCATACAGTACTGTAAACTGCAGTCATTTAAAATGCACAACTTGATAAGGTTTGGTATATGAATACAACCATGAAACCATCACCACAATCAAGATATAGAACACATGCACCAATCCCAAAAGTTTCCTCCTGGCCTCTTTATTCTCTCCATCCCACCTTTTTCATGTCCCTGGCAATCACTGATATGCTTTCTGTCACTGTAGATTTGTTTGAATGTCCTACAGTTTTATTAAAATGAAATCACATACTCTTTTTTTACAAGGGTGGGGCGAGGGTTGACATCTTTCACTAGGCATAATTATTTTGAGATTCATGCATATTGTTGCATGTATCATTATTTTATTCTTTTTTGTTGCTCAGTAGTATTCAGTTGTATAGATATACCACTGTTTGTTTATCCATTCACTTGTTGAATGCTTGGATTATTTCCAGTTTTGGGCTATTACAAATAAAGCTGCTTTGAACATTCATGTGTAAGTCTTTGTTTGGACATATACCTTCCTTTCTCTTGGGTAAGTATCTAGAAACGAAATGGCTAAATCATTTGGTAGATATATATTTACCGTTTTGAAAACCACCAAACGTTTTCCCAGAGTGATTGCATCATTTGATATTCGCGCTAGCACTGTATGAGTTTATCTACATCCTCGCCAATATTTGTTATTGTTAGTCTTTTAAAGTTTAGTTGTTCTAGTAGGTTTGTTATGGTATCTTACTGTGGTTTTTTTTTTTCTTTTTGCGCTATACGGGCCTCTCACTGTTGTGGCCTCTCACGTTGAGGAGCACAGGCTCCCGACGCGCAGGCTCAGCAGCCATGGCTTACGGGCCCAGCCGCTCCGCGGCATGTGGGATCTTCCCGGACCGGGGCACGAACCCGTGTCCCCTACATCGGCAGGCGGACTCTCAACCACTGTGCCACCAGGGAAGCCATTACTGTGGTTTTAATTTGCATTTCTCTAATAACTAATGATGTTGGAGATCTTTTCAAGTGCTATTTGCCATCCATATATTTTCTTTGGTGAAGTGTCTCTTCAAGTTGTTTGCCCAATTTTTAAATTGGATGTTTTCTTTTTATTGGGTTTTGAGAATTTTTTTTAACATATTCTGGTCATAAGTTCTTTTCCAGATACATACTCTGCAAATATTTCCTCCCAGTCTGTGGCTTGTCTTTTCATTCTCTTAACAGAGTCTTTTGAAGAGTAGATGGTTTTTAATTTTGATGAAGTACTTAATTTTTTACTTTATATATCATGCTTCTACTGTCATATCTAGAAACTTTTGCTTCACCTGAGGTTACAAAGATTTTCTCCCATTTAAGTTTCATAGTTTTTAGTTTCTTTTCAAGTCTGATGAGTTTTGAAGATTTTGAGTTCATTTTCATGTATGGCGTGAGGGATAGGTTGAAGTTCATTTTTTTGCATATGGATAATCAGTTGTTCCAGCACCATTTGTTGAAAAGACTATCCTTTCTTCACTGAATTGACTGCACCATCATAAAACTTGTCTGTTGTCATTTTTATATAATATGTAATATATAATAATGTGCATCTAGTCTGGACTCTATTTTGTTCCATTGATCTATTGTATATCTTTATGCCAGTACCACACTATTTGGATTCTTGTGGCTTTATCATAAATCTTTTTCAAAGTTGTTTTGGTTATTCTGGGTTCTTTGTATTTCTATATGATATTTATAATCACCTTGTCAATTTCTATTAAAAAAAGTATCCTTTTGGGGTTTTGATTGGGATTGCATCAACTCTATACATCAGTTTGGGGAGAACTGACATCTTAATATTGAATCTTCTGACCCATGAACATGGTATAACTTGAGTTTTTTTAAGGTCTGTTAATTTCTCTCAGCTGTGTCTTATGGTTTTTAGTGTACACATATTTCATTTTTTTACTAGATTTGTCCTTAAGTATTATATATTTTTATAAATGGAATTGTAAAAAGTTTTCAGTTTCTGAGTGTTCTTTATTAGTATATAGAAATTAAATTGATTTTTGTGTATAGCTCTTATATCTAGCAATCTTACTAAATTCACTAATTAGTTTTAAAAGTTTTAGCTCCCATTAGATTTACTACATTTATGATCATGTCCTTTGTGAATAAAGACAATTTTACTTCTTCCTTTCCAATCAGTATGCCTTTATTTCTTTTTCTTACCTGATTGCACTGACTAGAACCTCTAATGCACTGTTGAAAAGAAGTGAAAATTGACACTCTTATCTTGTTCATGATTTAAGAGAGATGCATTCAGTTCTTCACCATTAGGTATGATGTTAATACTTAATGTATAGGGGGGTTTTTTGTAGATGCCCTTAATCAAGTTGAGGAAGTTCCTTCTACCTTAGTTTGTAGAGTGTTTTTATTAGGAGTGGATTTTGGATTTTGTCAAATGCTTTTTTGTGTCTTAAGGTGGAAGATGAGTTGATTTATTTGAGGCCTTTCTTCTTTTTTAATATAGGTTTTCAGTACTATAAATTTCCTCCAACTACTGCTTTTGTGGTATCCTACAAATTTTGATGTGTCTGCTCAATTTCATTAATTTCAAAATATTTTCTACTTCCCTTTTGATTCTTTCTTTGACCTATAGGTACTTACAAGTTGTTATTTCATTTCCACTTATTGGGGGATTTTTCTAAACATCTTTCTCTTACTGATTTCTATGTTAATTCCATTGTGTTCAGAAAACATTCTTTATATGACTTAAATCCTATCAAATTAATTGACATTTGTTTTATGGCCTACAGTATGGTCTGTCTTGTAAATGTTTCATGTACACTTGAAAAGAATTTGTCCTCTGCTGCTGTTGGTTGGAGTGGTCTATACATGTCTGTTAGGTCAAATTGATTTATAGTGTTGTTCACGTCTTCTGTATTTAAAAAAAATTTCTGTCTACTTGCTCTATCAGTTATTGACAGAAGGGAATTACAGTCTCCAACTATTATAGATCTATTTTTTCTTGCAGTTCTATCAGTTTTTACTTCATATATTTAAAGTTCTGTTTTGGGGGGAATAAATACTGAGGATTGTTATTGCTTCTTGACTAATGAACAATTTTGTTACTGTGAAATGACCTTCCTTCTTCCTGATAGTATTTTTTGCTCTGAAGTCTACTTCATCTGATGTTAAAACAGCCATTCCAGTTTTATTTTGACTGTTGTTAGCATGGTATATCCTTTTCCTTTTTCCATTTTTAAATATTTTACTAATTTATATTTTTATATTTAAAGTGTTTTTCTTATAGACAGCATACAATTGGATCTTTCCTTTTTATCTAACATGACAGTCTCTACCTTTTAATTGGGGTGGTTAGACCTTTTACCTTCAATGTGATTTATTGATATGGTTCAGTTTAAGTCTGTCAATTTGTTTTCTATCTTTCCTATCTGTGTTTTCTTCTTTTCCACTTTTATTGCCTTTTTTTGGGTTGAATTTTTTTTTTAATGATACCATTTTATCTTTTTTCTTTCTTCATTAGCTATAACTTTTTGTTTTGTTCTTTTAAGGGTTTCAGGTTTTATAGTGTATATCTTTAACTTAAAATAGTCTGCTTTAAGGTGATAATGTATATAACACTTAGAGTTTAGCATAAGAACCATAAAATATTTTACTTCCCTTTCCCCTTGTCTCTCATTTGTGCTGTTGTCATACATTCTACTTTTACATATATTGTAAAACCTATAGTATATTGTTATAATTTTTGTTGAAATAGTAAGTTATCTTTTAAAGATATTTAAACAGTAAGAAAACATCTTTTATATTTACCCATCTAGTTACCCTTTGTGGTGCCTTTTAATTCAATCTGATGATATTTTCCTTCTGCTTGAAGGACTTGTTTTAAATATCTTTAGTGTGAGTCTGCTGTTGATGAATTTTTTTGCTTTTGTTTGTCTGAAAATATCTTTGTTTCATATTTTTTTAACACTTTATTTTTTAGAGCAATGTTAGGTTTAAAACAAAATTGAGAGGGAGGTACAGAGATTTCCCACATGCCCCTGCCCCCATGCATGTATAGCCTCCCCCATTATCAACATTACTGGAAGTTTGTACCCCTTGACCACTATCTCCCCATTTCCCCCACCCCCTCATCCCCTGATAACCACAAATCTATGCTTCTATGAGTTCAACTTTTTTAGATTCCACATAAAGTGATATAATGACATTGAGATTTCTTTTACCAAGGGTGAACCTACATTGGCACATCATAATTACAAAAAGTCCATAGTTTATTTTAGGGTTCACTTGTGGTGGTGTATATTCTGTGGGTTTGGACAGATGTATAAATAATCACTGAGTAGCCTTCATTATAATATCAGAGGATTTTCACTGCTCTACATTCTTTGTGCTCTCCCTGTTCATTTTCTCAGCCCTCCGACCCCTGGCAACCACTGATCTTTTTATTGTTTCCATAGTTTTGTCTTTTCCAGAATGTCATATAGTTGGGATCATAGAATATGTGGCCTTTTCAGATTGGCTTCTTTCATTTAGTAATATGCGTTTAAGTTTCCTCCATGTCTTTTCATGGCTTGATAGCTTATTTCTTTTCAGCACTGAATAATATTCCATTGTCTGGATGTACCACAGTTTATTTATCCATTCACCAACTGAAGGAAATCTTGGTTGCTTCCGAGTTTTGGCAATTATGAATAAAGCTGCTTTAAACATTTATGTGCAGGTTTTTATGTGGACATAAGTTTTCAGCTCCTTTGAGTAAATACAAGGAGTATGATTACTGAATTGTATGGTAAGAGTATGTTTAGTTTTGTAAGAAATTGCCAGATAGTCTTTCAAATTACCATTTTGCATTCCCACCAGCACTGCGAGTTTCTGTTGCTCCACATCCTCTCTAGCATTTGGTGTTGTCAGTGTTCTGGATTTGGGCCATTCATACAGATGTGTAGTAATATCTCATTGTTATTTTAATTTGTGTTTCCCTGATGACATATGATGTGGAACATCTTTTCATATGATTATTTGCTATTTTCAGTGAGGTATCTGTTAAGGTCTTTGGTCCATTTTTTAATTGGGTTTTTTCTTATTGTTGAGTTTTAAGAGTTCTCTGTGTGTGTGTGTGCACGCGCATGTGTGTGTATTACTTTCAGAAAAATTGAAAGGTAGTAGTCTTTTGAGAGTAAATAATATGAATATAGATTGGGAATTAAGGAAGAAATATCATGGTCTGATAATCTTCATTTTAGCTTTCAGTTCTGTATTTAAGCTACTTATTTGTGAGTGGTTATTAACCTCTTAAAATTAAATAAATGTATTGAATGTTTAATGAAAAAATTCTATTATGTAATAATTGATGTCTTTTAAAATCTTGTTTTCCTAGCAACAAAATTAGACATAAATAATTTGCATTGCTTGTGTGCAAAAGCTAACAAATTGTATTCAACCTATAGGTTCTCAGGTTCTGGATTACAGCTTTCATACCATACTTAAATACACAGATATAAACATAGCTGACATATTCTACATCTCTGCGTGGCTTACTTGAAAAACAGAAACAGTTGCTTAATTGGATGACTATCAATGGTCAACACAGATTGATGGGCTTGAGTGCAGTAGACAGTGGGTATGCAGGTGGTAGTGTCTGTACCATTTGACATGAGATGGCTGAGTCTTTAAAATGATTTTAGTGGAATGGCTTTGGTGGTGCTGTAAAGGGCATCTATCCAACCTCAGGTGCTGTGCAGATGGCAAAGCCATGCTAATGTAGAAAAATGAGGAACAAGTGACTATTTAATGTACAGGAATGCATGATCTGCGTCACAAATACATGATGGTATTACATGCAGGAAACCTAGCCAGATGGCTGTACATTAAAACACATGACTCCTTGAGAGAATTAATTACAGGCAATTTGCTCAGATTTTCTTCAGGCCTGCTGCAGATTACATTAGGGTAGGGAGCATAAGAGATTTAAGTGCTTTATTTCTTGAAAGTGTTTAGATGAAGTTGGCAATTATTTAAGCATAATCTGATCTCCATAAGTAGTTAAATTGTCTCTTTGTGGGGAAAAAGAAAGGAGGGAGGGTAGTTGGCTTTAAAATAAAAGAATGTAAGGAGTCAGATTGGCTGGTGAACCTGTGGAAAATACAGTTGTCTTTTGGCCCATATTTTTCCACTAGGGAAAAGCTTAAAAATATTTTTAGACTAGTATGATAAAAGTATTTCTTTTTCTATATAGGTTTTAATGAGTCCAAATGGCAATGACATGGAAATTTTAATGTGGAAAGAGAATGTGTTGAGTGCTGTGTTAAACGGGCCCATTTTCACTGGTAAAATATTACATTTTTGTTTTTCAGCTTAAAGAAAGTGGTTATTGTACAGGTCATGAACCAGATTCCCTGGAATTCAGCACTGTGGGAGGATGGGTATCTACTCGGGCATCAGGCATGAAGAAGAATATCTATGGCAATATTGAGGACTTGGTAAATTTTTTTCTATTTATTATATAATAATTAATTAGTCTATGGAGATTATTATAAAGTTGTTAAGCCTTTAAAAATTGAGTTGGAGAGTTTCCCACAAAAGTATACCCTTTTTGATGATAGTAACGTTGACTATGTACAATACAGTTAAAAAGTACAACTGTGGTCATTATTTAAGAGTGCTTCTTTTTGAGTAACTGATATTTAAGTTTTGTAGATGTCTCAGTATCTGACTTATAAATGTATCTAAATATTAGTTTGCAAGCCTTGGAGCCTTGGTCTTCAACTCTACCACTGTTTTAGTCTATTTACGTAGGTGATCTTGTCATTACTACTGTTTTGCCTTGTGAGATTTTATTTATTTTTCTGCAAAAAATTTTCTGTATGGAATTAAAGAGCCCAGTTAAAAATGTTCTAGTTAATGTAATGTTTTATGTGCACATCATTTTGTTTTAGCTGATCTGGTGTCATTGCTCTTGAGAGTTAGTTAGGCATCCTGTCTAGGAATTAGGTATCATTTGTTCCATTTGTAGCTTTTCCAGTGATTAATTGTGTGACCTTGTGCAAATTGGTTTACCTTTCTAAACTTCAATTTCCTACTATATAAAATAGAATAATGTTATTTGTTGCATAGAATTATTATAAGGAATAAAGGACATAAAATGAAAACTCTTAGCGGAATCACTGGTATGTAATAGGTACTTCATACATGTTAGTTCCCTTTATCATCAATATTTTGATAACAATTTAAAAGAATAATTTATGAGACTATTAAAGTGGTGTTCCTAACATTATTCTTAGAGCTATTTAGGTTTGTTTTTCAAATCTAGCGTTTCAACGTTTTCATCAATGTCTTCATTGATAGAAATATCAAATTGTTGATAAAATATATTGGTTTTTTATAGTTAACACCCAACAATTTAAGACTTCAAGTGTCTGTATTATGAACACTTTTTAAATGTTTGCATTATCTTTTTTTTTAATTGAAGATATTTTAGAAATCACATTTTTCTTTTTGCAATTAAGATAACATAAATTCAGTTTCAGAAAAGAGAATTTGATTCTTTTGCTATTGGATTATTAAAAGCTTTATCAGATTTAAGCATATTTGATAGACTACCACATTTAGTACTGCTAAAGCATGTAATTTATTTTAATCCTTTTGGGATTTAAGGGCCACAAATTATAAGTATACATTTTAATGTACTTATTTGCATGTTTATATCTAGTCTTTAATATAAAAAAGCATCATACTGTGTTTAATCTGCTCTTTAAGCTGTTACCAATCTATTAACATGTCAATGAGCATAGGTTTGCACCATTATTTTTAAAAAGTGCATATAATTCTCTTTTATTGATAATTTGTGATTTAGTAATTCCCTATTAAAGAATATTTAAATTATTTTTATTTCAAAATTATAGAAATAAATAAAGGGAAAAATATCTTCTGTAGTAATTTTTTAGCATACCTCTTTGATCATTTTCTTTGGGTAAGTTCCTAGCTTGGGTTGTTGGGTCAAGCATGTTTTTAGGTCCTTGGACCCTTACAGCCAAATTGCTCTATAAAAATTTTGTGCCAGTTGACATTCTTACTAGCACTATGAGAATCTTTATTTTACTGGACCTTTTATTTATATTTTTTTCCTAAAATTTTATATTTATTTGTTAGTGAATGTAATCTTTTAAAATGTCCTCATTAGCAATTTTTATCTTTTTATTTTGCGAATTCTTTATTTATGTCCTCTGTTCATTTCCTTCAACAATAGACTATTTTTATTTATCTGTCAAAAAATTATTCTGAAAATATGTTGGGTTTTTACCTAACCATTTCTGAGTCAGATCTGAGGAATTTTTTTTGATTGACCCTCTCCCTACAATGTACTTAATTTCTCACATGTGTGAGACATATCTCACACATATCTTTCTTCTTCTTTTTTTTTTTTTAACATCTTTATTGGGGTATAATTGCTTTACAATGGTGTGTTAGTTTCTGCTTTATAACAGAGTGAATCAGTTATACATATACCTATGTTCCCATATCTCTTCCCTCTTTGTCTCCCTCCTTCCCTCTCTTCTTTTTAACTCAGTCACCACATCTCTCTCTTCATCCCAATTTTGATGTGATCAAAATTAATGCTTCGTTCTTTTCACTCTTTTCTACTGAGTGGGCAAAGTAGATAAGTTGAAGGTGGGGGTAAGGCAAGAATAATTTTTTTCTTAGAATTCTAAGCATCTAGAATAGTGCCTAACATGAATAATAGTGCTTCATAAATATGGTTAAATAAATGAAAGAATGAACCTATTAAAATGTGATCATTGCATATTTTTTCCATTCTTTAGTTCTTTACCACATGGACAGCCCTAGACTAGCTTTGGTTTAAAGAAATGTCTTTTTCAGTTTTTAAGATGATGAATATACCTAGGCCAATAACAATCTTAGAATAATTTTTCCCTCTTTTAAAGTTACATACTATTTATTTTTAGTCTAAGGACTACTAAAAGATATTAGAATTCTGAAGGGAATCACCATTTATCACTTAAACCAATATTTTAAAAATAGTGTTTTATATAAATATATATGGGTGTGTGTATCCACACACACACAACATTCACTGACAGATATCTAGAATTTACACCATGCATTGTATTAAACAGGTGGTTCATATAAAAATGGTAACACCTAGAGGTATAATAGAAAAAAGCTGTCAAGGACCTCGAATGTCAACAGGCCCTGATATCCATCACTTCATCATGGGATCTGAAGGTAAATATAACTGCAAACTTATTATGAAAAAATACAGGTTAGTGATTCAGTTTTGTGAAAATCTGTGATATTGTGATATCAGATTTTTGAAAGAAAGACATGTTTTATATATTTAATTTTTTTTAAGTTTTATGACTTTAATTTAGTACTTCATAAAGTTTTTATTATAAGAACATCTTATTAAACTTTCTCTTGAATTTTGCTTTTTTATGTTTTTTAGAGCCAGCTTAGTCCTTTTGGTGTTATTTTGTTTTTCTTTTAGAGTTTTTAATCAATTTTAGGAAGAGTAGCTGTTAGGGTTTAAAATAGTTTGCTTTTACATTTATTGGTATGGTATTTTCTAATCTCTGAATTATCAGGAGGAAAGGACTAATAAAGTATTATCTTATTGCCTTGTCTTTCTATAATTATATCTTTTGTTATTTGCTAGTTGGTTTTTGAAGAAGTGGAATTTAAAATTCTGTTGATTCACATATCTTTGAAAACTTATGTTGGTCTTTTATTTTTTCACTACTTGAGTCATCTCCTTTGCTTGGTTACTTAATGCTGGGTAGATTGGAATGTAGTTCTTCATCTTATGCAAAACATTTAATTTCTGTACACTAACCTTCCTTCTAGTTTGCAAACTAACTGTTATGTAGGCACTGTGAATTTTATGGATAAGGTGAAGGTGGGCATATTTTTCAATTCTTAGCATGGTAGAGAGGGATAGTTATCCCTTAAATTCAGAGAAATGAAAGTGTTTCCAAGTTACCAGAGGAACTCACTACTAAGTCAGAAGGTGGTGCAAGCTGTCAAAAGATTTTCAAAACATCTAGCTATATTCATGGATAAAAGTGCATTTATGATAAACTAGGATGTTAGGGCATAAATTCTAACTTTTGATGGTAACATCAAGGAAAAAATAAATTATGTGTCGTAGTGATGTACTTACTAGAGGTCACCTCTTAAATTGATGACCAGTGGTATAGCTTAGATATTTTTCATGATAATCAGTGACAAACCTCTGTCAAGGTGTTTCACCAATTTACTCTCTTATTCCTTTTCTGATCAGTGTACTCTTCTGTGGAAAAACAGAACTACACTTTTAATGAGAAAAATAAAATGTTAAATTCCTTTAAAATAATATAGTTCTCTAAAAAATATTATTTTGGAACTTCTTGTATTAATGCATCATCCAAGAGTTAACTGAAAGTATATAACTTTTTCCAGTCAAATGTCAAATTGAATAACAAATAGTATTAAAACTGATAATTATTAATTTTACTATTGGTATATACATAGTTGGAGTCAACTCTGTAAATTATCTTTTTAAGTAGCTACATCAAACATTTTTTTCTCCCATTAATTAGCGTTTAAAAAATTCTGGTTGCTAGGTAATGTGCTGGCACACTCAAGGACACAGGTAATTGACCATTAAAATTGAATAAGGTAAATTCTATGATAGAAGTAAATGAAGGAGAAATACAGACAAAAGTCATGTTGATGGGTGCTTAGGAAGACTTCCGCAGAGGGGTTGTGCCTAAAGTGGTCCTTCAAGGATGATAATGAGAAAATAATTCTAGGCAGAGTTGAGGGAATAAGGTGGGGAGGGAGTTGCCCTACACAGAGAACTAACTGCATGTGAACAGGCTTAAAAGTGAGAAAGAGCTGTGTCTGCCTCGTGAAGGTGCCAGTTTTTCAGTGTGGCTGAAACTTAAGATTTAATTGTAGAGTGGAGTTGACAGCAGGTCAGGGTGTGGAGTAGTAAGGGTTACAGGATGGCTGGAGAGATAATTTGGTCTTTTATCCCTTTTATAATAGTTTGAACTTTATCCAAAAGACTGGACTACCTCCTTCAATAGTAAATTATTGTACGAATTTAAGGAAGGCAAACTCATTATTATAATAAAGTAAGCAAAGAAATACAGTTTATTAGAAACATGTACAAGGGTAAGTTACTATATTTAAATGAGATTTTATTATAAATATCCATGCAAAATGCCGTACTGATTTAAGAGCATGAACCTGGAAATCTTTCACATCTGGATTTCAATCCTGGTTTTACCACTTATATTTCTGTGACTGTGTAAATTAGGTAGTTCTCTATGCCCAATGTCCTCAGCTGTAAAATGGGGATAATAAAAGTATCGATATTCAAAACCTTTTTGAGAGGGTCAAACGAAATTATGCTAAGCAGTTTATAAGCGCGTAGTAAGTAAGTACTCAACAAATGTTAAACTGTTGTGGCTGTTTATTATTTTGGCATCAGTGATCTTTATATTTATGGTCCCTAATCCCCATTTCTGTATGTATGTGGATATAGAGTAATCTTAATATAGGCCAGGAGACAGCATGACTGAGAGAGTAAATTTATGTGAAATCATATTCTTTTATAATATGTATTTTCCCTGCTGTTTTGAACTATCTAAATAATAACCTCCTGCCTTAAATATGAATCATAAACTTTTCCTTGAGCTTTAGAAAATACTTTCTTTTGCTATAGTTAAATCATTTGATGACAACCTTGAAAGCATCGCCATTATAAAAAAACCTATTTTCCCCCATCCTGCTAAGTTCCACATGTGGTTAGCCAAGTTAAGTTTAAGGTTTTTATCTTGTTTTGTGTTGTGAATTTTTCATAATGATTATTTTGACAAGCAGGTTCCTCCCATTTTAGATGTTATAGTATCATGATGAATTAATGAAAACCATAATAAATAAAGCATTTGAAATGTTTTATATTCTTTTCCTATATGTGGAATTTACTAGTAACTTATAATGATTTGCTCTTTTATTTGAAAAATGGCTAAAAGTACGTTTTTTTATTTTAACTCGTTACCCACCCTTGTTTTAGCCTTTACTCTAAAATGAAATAGATGAAAAGCTTACTATCAGTCCTTCTGTGTAGTTTTACTTCATCTTTCGGTTAAATAAAGCTCATCCTTTAGTAGATTCCTCAGGAAAGGCACATTCGTATATCCCATGAGTTCTGGAATGTTCTAAACTACTTTTCTATGACATTGATACCTGCAGGACAGCTTGAGTGGCTTTAATATTCATGGGTCACACTTTTTTTCCTTGTTTTTTGAAAATACTATTCCACTGTTGCTTTGGTTTTGTATGTTGTTTTAAAGAAATCTGATGCCAATTCTCTTGACTTTTTGCCAGGAGGCAGTGAGGATTTTTTTTTTCTTTATCATTAAAGTTTACTTTTACAACTGAGAGTTGATTTTTGTGGGTCATTTTGCTCTGGTCAGTGGACCCTTTCTCTGTGTATATGCTGGTCTTCTTTTATTTCTGTAAAGTTTTTCTTTGGATTGTAGAGTTAAATATTAGGGTTTTGGATTCCGTTCCCCCTGCTGTTTTGATTTTTCTTCTTCAGGGACACCAGTTATACATTTGTCTGACTTTCTTTGCTTATTTTCCATTTCATCCATGATTTCTCTTTTTTTCTTAACTTCTTTCTTTATTTTAATTCTCTTGGTTATTTTCTGGCTTTTCTTCAATGCCCTGTATTAAGTTTTCATTTGAATCTATTCTCTCTTCTTTGGATACCTTGTAATCCAGCCTTCATTTTTTTTATGTTTTGTTGTTCTATTTCTTCCCTGAGTTTGGTCATCGTTTATTTCATTTTATCTTGTTTTTTGTCCATTTATGTTTTTAGTGTTTATATTTCTAATTCAGCTATTTTTTCATATCCCCAAATGCTTGTTTGATAGTGTTTAATTGAGTTTGAAATGCTGTGTTTACAGTTTTCTTCAGGATCATGGTTGGTTTTGTGGGGGATACTTTGCATCAGCAGAAAAGCTATTATTTCCATTTTCTGATGTTTTGCAGTAGTTTTGTATGGATTTGGTCTGCTTTTTTCTGTTCCTGTTATTACTTGGAAAGGGTTCCTAGTTTGAGAGTGTTCTGTTCTGTCACTTCTACCCTCTTTTGTGCTATTTGCTTTATAGATGGTGGTGTTTTTGGTGGGAGAAGCCATGGCATGTCCTGTTTCTCTTTCATTTCTATCAGATCTTTAATTTTCCTCCTAATTTTATTCTTTCCCTCCACTGCCTTGTCTCCAAGGAGTACCACACTCCTCTAATTTGATGCTTCTTTGAAGATACTTCCCTTACTTCTTCAAGGGTGTCATTTCTGGTTCCTTCCATTTTCAAACCCCTCCTCATAGCCAGGGTTATGGATTACCAAGTCTTATACAGTATTTGGAGTTTATTGTTGCACTTTTGCTTTCTGGGGTTGATTTTGTCTCTGCTTACTTTAAGTCCTCTGCTACTCTCTACTCTTTCTTAGGGAGTCTTCTAACCCCCCCCGCCCCCCCCCACCCCCGCTTACTCACTTTCTGCCCTTATAAGCTTGTAGCAGCTGGAAGGCTGTAGAAGGTCTGTTGGAGTTTCTTCTTTTTATCTCTACTTATGGGTAATTAGAAAGTCATAGTGTTTTCTTGTCTCCTTTTAATACTAAAATGTATATCCTGTGTGGTTTTATTTGTTTTCCTTGTTGATTTTCATGTTTGGGGGGAGGGGGGTAGAGGGAGAGGGAAGATTCAGAATCAAATGATTACCTTTCTTCTCAGTCCTGAGGTCACCTGAACGTATATTTTCAAATTATGAAAGATTTTATTTATGTCAAGCAAATACTTGCATTTTGTATTAGCTAGTAGTTGAAACTTTCAGTTTTCTTAAGAACACTATATTTGAAATTATAAAACAGAAAATTCTAAAATTTACAGTAACATTTTTATTGAAACAGAAAGAAAATGAATGACATATAAGCCTCTATGATGTCACATTGCCATGGAGTTGTTTACAAACAGTTATATAAAGTGTATATAAAATATTGGTATAATGTGCATATAATCAAGTGATAAGTAATCTAAGTAGTTTTATATCACTCCACTGACATAAAATTCCCAGAACAAAAGGATCAATAAATATAATAAAGCCCAACAGAAGTGAGCCTGTCAATGAAGTGAATTTAGATGTAAACATTTATGATTGGATTAATTTGAATAT